GTGGGGGGGGGGGGGGGGGGACATTTTAAATTAGACAACTATTTTTAACAACAATTTTTGGAAAATAAGAGATTTTCCTTAATGAATACAAGAATGCTTCCTAATATTTGTCCAAAAGAAAGCATCTTAGAAAGCTGCATAATTAGTTGCATATATTAGATGTATATGATGCTATGTAGGCAGTACATGCTCACAAAGTCAGTGTGAAAAAGAAAGTGTCTGTTGTGTAGCTAAGCTAACACACACTCCTGCCTTTCTGTACAAATAACAAAAGTGTAAACATTAAAAACTCATGAACATGAGCCTGTATGAGTCATAATGACCATTGATGTTCAGTGCGATTTGTTGTGATTTCTGTGTGATTCTTGTACGTTTTTCTGTAAAGCAAATCGATTATGAACTGAGTAGCCACTGAGTAGGAAGCACAGAGCAGGCTGAAGCGATGCCAGCAGATGCAATTTGGATGGAGAGATTTTCAGACAATAAATGTGTTTTCAACCACTCTCACCCACAAGCAACACATACACAGCTATACAGTATATGAATGTAAACATAATAAAAATTAAGCACGTCTGTAGTTGTTGTAATTCCAACACTGGTGTCCTGGATACAACTGATTTGGCCTGTATTTGTAATGAGCAAACTTGAAACACGTCAACATACACACGCTCACACACACACACAAAATGTAAGAGTTGTACAAACATACAGGGGTGGAAAGGGGCTGTGGCCCCTCTGTGGCCCAGAGAACCACTGCAGCTTCTGGGTGGCAGTCTAAGGTTCTGTTCTTTGGTTCTGGGCTCTTATTGGCCATCCTAAACAATTCTTTATGACATCACTTCCCCAAATAACACAGAAATCCCACCCACTTGAGTGTTTTTCAGCTCACTACAGCAAAAATAGGCACGGAAACACTTTAGTCAGTAAGATGAATTGATGACTGCTTTTTAAAAGAAAAGTTCACCCAAAAATGAAAAATTGCTGAAAATGTACTTACTCTCTAGGCCAGAAGCGATAGTTTAAAGTTACATTTTTGGGATGGATTTGTTTGTTACAAACACGCAGATTTTCACAAGAAATTAATTGATGGACTGGAGTCATGTGGATTACTTTTGGATTATTGTGATGTTTTTATCAGCTGTTTGGACTATCATTCTGACGGCACCCATTCACTGCAGAGGATCCATTGGTGAGCAAGTGACTCATCTACATCTAACTCACTATGTTAAATGAATCTGTTTGTACTGATCCATTCTCAGTCTTTTCTGGACCGAAGGCCAGTAAACATTACGAACCACATTAAAGGACCCAATAAAACTTACTCAGAATTCACCACCGACATCACTGACACTTCAGACACTGTTTAGATGCGCACTTAAGGAGTTCCTGGTTAAATGGTCATGTGACTCCATATAGAGGGATTCTCTAGGGTAAAGTGGGGGTGGGAGATTGCTTCAGGGGTGCTTTATGTTTGTTCAACGACCCTGAAAGACTGAAATTCAAACAGATAAAAAAAACAACAACTATAATAGCAGATGCAGTGCGCTCTCATCCACGGTGTTATCAGAAAATACTCTAGTTATTCGATTTGATGAATGTTCAATTGCAAAAAAGGCCTCATTTTCCCTCTGTAGGGAAGTCATTTTCCCTCTGTTCCCTCTGTTTTTTTTTGCATTCTGTTCTCCTGCAACCCTCTGAAGCCTCTGTGATTCTCGAAATAACAACACTTGGCAAGGAAATACACAAAAGTACAGAAAAAATATGGAAGCAGATTATATCCATACAGGAATATCGGGGAGAAAATGCAGTGTTCAGCCATTGTTCATATTCATCTCTCTTCTCCGTTTGTCTACTCAGCGTTTGGTGTTTCCGAGCCACTCTCCCTAGCCGGGACTTTGGCCTGACGGTAAAAGCTGTAAGCTCTGTGAGTTCTTACCAAACTAAACAAGGAAAAAAAAAAAATAATAACTTTATGGGTCCTTCAAATGTCACTCAATAACAGATTTAATGTATAGTCATATATTTTCATTTTTTTGTTGAAATATTATTTCTAATCCTCGAAGCAGATTTGAAAATAGTCCTTTGAATCCTTTAATTCTTTTTGTTATTTTTTATGCATTTTTTTCCCAAAATACTTCATTAGAAAAAAGTAATTCTCAGCAGGTGTTGAGGAAAATATAGACTGTGAAAAGCTCAGACTCCAGGTTAAGACTGGCCCACCCCTTAGAGAAATATTTCACACTCTTCATCTTCAGCGTGAAGGCATCTGAAGAACGAATGTCCTTTTTTAAAACTCAAATCCATGCCTGCTTAAAACTGTAGCGACCTTTTTGAATTAGCTCTTACTTACGGCTTGAAGTTTCCTCCCATATATCTCTTTCCAACCCCCACCCCTTCCCACCCCATCTCTTCTCTTCAGAAGCCCTGTATATGACAGTAAGCCTCAAGACTGGAGAAAAGGATATAGAGAAACCAGAGACCGAAGAAAAAGAGCGTTGTGAAGATGCGCTGTGTGCGCGGGCCGCCCAGCTCTCCACCGATGTGAGGCCTGCGCCGGTACAGCAGGACACTCACCGCCAGGAAGGCAAAGATGGTGAAGAGAGTGACAGAAAATGCCAGGGAACCTGCTGGCACCTCGAACGCACGACCCTGCATGTGCCAGTAGATGGCGGCCACTGACCACGCCACACCGATTCCCAAGAAAACGTTCACAGCATTACTACCGGTCACGTTACCGATAGACGCGTCTGCGTAACTGTCCTGCACTGCTGCAACTTTACTGGCAAAGGTATCTGAGGAGAAAAGAGAGATGTGATGTAGATGCTTTCATAAAATAGTGTAATAATCTATGATTAACAAGCAATAAAAGGATGCAAATCAGGAGGAATCAGATTTATACTGATTTTATGAGTTAAAATAGTTAATTGTATGATAAAAACATACTGTAACTGTCAAAGCTTCCCCCGAATCCAAAAAGAGCATTTATTGAAACTTAGCAGCAAAACTGACTTTTTTTATGTCAGACAGATTGGCCTCATTAAATTCAAGAGACAGAGAGAGGGTTGAAATGGTCCTACAAAACCAAATTATGATTGATTTTGGCAGAAACGATTTTATTAATTATATGTGGACCTCGGAGAAAACACTATACACTACTGTTCAGTAGTTTGGGGTCAGTAAGATATGTTAATGTTTTTGGACGAAGTCTCTTATACTCACCAAGGCTGCATTTATTTGATCAAAAACACAGTAAAAACATAAATATTGTGAAATAATATTACAATTTAAAATAATTCCTTTCTAGTTAAAAATTAAATTTATTACTGTCATGGCAAAGCAGCAGTGTCACACGATCCTTCAGAAATCATTCTAATATGCTGATTTGATGCTCAAGAAACATTTCCTTTTTGTTTGTAATAATGTTGAAAAGAGTTGTGCTGCTTAATATTGTTCTGGAAACTGTGATAGAGTTTTATTTTTCCAGGATTCTTTGATGATTAGAAAGTTTAAAATAACAGCATTCATTTGAATCCTGTGACATTATAAATATCTTTACCTTTCAGTCAATTTAATGCGACTGCTGAATAATAAGAGACCATAAACTAAAAGTAGCATATATTATATGGCCCATTTAAAATGGTATTTATAAATATGTAGGCAAATAAAAGCATACACAAACTCACCAGGGATAGATGTTCCCAGGGCTACGAACACCACAGCAGTGACTGAGTCCTTTAGGCCAATGGTGCAGCCAAAGTGACTAGCCAGGTCACCGATCACAGCAGTCAAAAGACCGATGACCACTATGGAAACAATGAAACATGCCCACCCGTTCCAGTATTCCGTGGGTGGGACACAGGCGAACAGAACCTTCCAGAACACAGTTAGGAAGTGCATGACATAGTCAAAACAAGATGGCAGACGTTCCTCTCCCCCTTCATCCTCATCCTCATCTCCTGAGATAAAGACAGGAAGACAGAAAGAAAGAAAACAAGCAAGAAAGAAAGGAAAGCAGAATGGGAGTAGAAAAAAGAAGAAAATGAAAAAAGTTAGTATTGTGGTATCACCCACATTACACAACTACCATACCTGAGCAAAGCTATCTATTTGACACCGTGGTGATTTAGGGGTCCTGTTGCCTTGGTAACCCCGGCTGTTTGATAGTCACGGTAATTGAAGGCTACACACTGTGAGAGCAGCATTTTTATCTCAACACAGAGTCATAAAAGACTAACATGTAGGACATTTCCATTTTAATTTTGGGGAAAATCTATAGGAATTAATTTAAACAAAGTGAAACGTATCACACAGAGCTGATAATACTACATTCTTATTGATATCTGAAATGATCAAATTAGTCAAAATGTTTAGAACACACAATGGTTGTAGGATGAGGAGAACCGTGTAGGAGATCTGTGGGCTCAGTTTTCATGTGGGCCGAGTTATATTTCACAACAGAAATAGAAAATGTTGTGTGTAATATGAACATGAGAGTATGTTTATATAATAACTGAGTTTTGTTGCTTTTAGTACAGTTCTGTGAGTTTTGAGATGATCTACCGTTCATATGTTTGAGGTAGCTAGGACTTTTTCAAATAATTTTGGTATGATCACCAAAGCTGCATTTATTTGATCAAAAATCAACTAAAATAGTAATATTGTGAGATATTATAAAGAATGTATAATAACTTTTCTATTTGAATATATTTTCAAATGTAATTATTGTGATGCAAAGCTGAATTTTCAGCATCATTACTCCAGTCTTCAGTGTCAAATGATCCTTCAGAAATCAATCTAATATGCTGATTTGCTGCTGAAGAAACATTTATTATTATCATATTGAAAACAATTCCTTAATTTTTTTTTGTGGAAACCATGAATTATCCAGTTGGTGTATAAGAGGGTTCAATGCCAAAGAAAGCATTCTGTATTTAGATGTATAAAGCTGTAAGTGTTTCTTTAGATCCTTCAACCGCTCTCACATATTTTGCAGCGACAGCACAGGATCAGCAGTTCTAAAGTCATGTTTGGATGTAGGACAAGTGATGTGTCTTCTATTACAGGTTCAGTGTCAAAAACACCTACGACCCATTTGATACAAAGTTTTATCTGTCTGTCCGCAAAGAAAAAAAACAGCTTGCGTTCCTGAATCTACAGCGTGAATCATACCAGTGCAAATAGTACAGAAACAAAAGACTCTGGTTCTTTTAAGCAGATAAAAAACCCTTATGAGTAAGTCAGGTCAGTTACTAAATCTAAGGAATAAAAATTGAAAGGAAAATTGTAAGTGTTTGGAAAGGCATAAAGATAGACAGAATTGTCATTATCATTAGAACAATTTCCTCGATCTGACTCATTCACTGAATTATTTGAATTGTTCATCAAATCATCAAAGATCCAGAATTATTAGGAGGAATCAGAATCTGAACCACAATCATTAGTTCACAAACAGCACTATATAAAATTCCGACAATTCACAGAGTGCATTTTCCAATGGAAACAGACTTAGAATGTTCATAATTTTGCTTATTAATGGTTGTCAAACAAATTATAGTTATGAATGCGCATATTTTTTACTTTGAGGTACTTTTTTCCCCAGGATTTCTCTGAATATCAAAATGTAATCTTATTCGAATCCATGTTGGAATGCAAATAAAGAAATATCTAATGAATAATTGATAAACGTCTTGTTTACAAGCACACTAGTGAGGAGACAAGCCAACATGTTGTTTTGTGGGCTTAGGTAAGTTAATAAGTAGGTTGTTTAATGTTGTCCAGGCGAGATGAGAGCTCAAACAGAGAGGACCAGCTGTTCTTCCTCTCTCATTCTTTCTGAAGGGTATAATACTGGGACAAGGACACATGCATACATGCAAACACACACACAGCACCGCAGCACTGCTGTGTGCATGCTGGTAGCATTGACGACGTCTGCCTGATTTATGGAGAGATACTGAGAGACACGCTTGACTACTTGGGGTGTGTGTGTGTGTGTGTGTGTGTGTGTGTGTGTGTGTGTGT